TTTGTGGTGGTGGTGGTGGTGGTGTGCGTGGGCTGAGCCCGGCGAGGCGAGCTCTGCCAGCGGGGCCTCCCGCAGCTCGGTGTCCTGGGGGTGCCCCGGGCCCCCCGCCGCCTCCACCCGCAGGTAGGCCTTCACCTTGTGGTGCCGTGCCTTGCCGTCGCTGGAGTCGATCACCCGGCACTCGTACGTCCCCTCGTCCTCCAGCTTCACTCGCGACAGCCGCAGCTTGTGGGAGATGTTGCTGCCGACCACCTTCACCACCTGCACCGGGGCAGACGGGCGGTCAGGGCTCCCACTGCCCCCCAGACACCCCCAGCGTGTCACCACTGCCACCTCCCACCGTGTGCCACCGCACCCCAGCCTTGTGCTGGGAGGACACGCTAAAGGTTGGTGAAGTTGTTGTGGGGGGATCCAGCCCCAGCCTGGGCCCACAGGATGATGGAAGCCCTGGCTCACACCCGGCCACGCAGGGCTCAGAGATCGATGCGGAACCACGCTGGCTAATTAGCTTTTCTACCAAATTGATTCGCTCTCAGCATTTATCACCCAATGAAATTTAAGACTTACTCACTAGCCAGAGCCGCAGCTGCTCTGGGCTGGGTCAATAAATCAGATTTATAACCCACCCCGAGGCCCCTGGCTCTGTTCCCTATAATCACACTGGATGGCAAAGGCCGTTTTTCTACTCGCCGCTGCATTTGTTAGCTGAGGATTTTATAATGTTTGGAAACGCGGCTGGAGAGGGGCAAAACCCACCCCAAACAGCACAGGATGCAGCATGGGGACAACAGTCCCTCAATGTCCCCTCAGCCCCTCACTGTGGGGGCATCCAGTGCTGGAACATGAAGACACCTGGCCACAGGTGTACACAGAGCATGTACAGACACATGAGCACACACAGGCTGCTGCACGCCGTGCAATGCTGAGAGGCAGCTGGTGCCACAGGTCACAGCCAGGGCCACCCCAAACAGCGTCTCAGGGCTTCTCAGTGGCCATGTGCAGCTGTGAGCCCCAATCCTGCATTGCTGGAAGTGTGGGTCTTGAGGGGACAGGACAAGGCAGGGGCAGGAGCTGCCAGACCCTCGTGCAAGTGTGCCCATGAGACTGTCATGGGAAAAGAGCTGCAAAAAAAACTTCTTCATTGGGAGAGCCAGAAGTCACTGAAATTAATGGCTGGGAAATTTAGAACTAATAAAATAAAACCCCAATTTGCTGGTGCCACCAGTGGCCATGGAGCTGCTACCCAGCAGGTCACTGAGCCTCAGGAGGGAAGATTTTATGACCAGCCATAACTCCTGTGACTCCACCAGCACAGACAGGGCAGTGACAGCTCTCACTGCCCACAGGAATGGGGCAGAGCCCTGGCACGGTCAGGATGAGCAGATTTGCTGTGCCCAGCCCCAGCTCAGCCCTCTGATGTGCCGCTGGATTCAAAGGGGGAAAAAATAAACCCAGACCCATCATGTTTCGCTTCCCTTCATCCTTGCAAAGCACCTCCAGCACCAGGTGTGTTTGGTGGATAGCACACGGCCAAGGGGTGCCTGGAACAGCGGCTCCTCCTTGGGATTTACACCCCCCTCACTGTTTGACTCTGCTGTTTGTTCCCAGTCACCTGCTGTTGTGGCTGTACCTCAAGCTCCATCAGAACCGCCCATGCTCGTTTACCTCCTCTATTCCATAAACACTTAATTATCAAGGACATTTGAAATAACAACAAACAAAAGAGGTTTGAAGCTCCAGCCTCTCCCTGCTGGCTGGATCTGGAGGAGGCAGCAGCGACCTCGAATGATTCAAAATAAATCCTGGTTACACTCGCACACCCATCAATTCCATCCCAGCGTGCAATTAACTGCCTAATTATGCTGAAACATGCACTGGTTGAGCTGAGAGGGAGTGCTGGCCCCAGGATGGCTCCATGCACCCACTGTAGCTCCTCTTGCCCCTGGAGCAGGGCTTGGGTGGGATGTGGGGAGCAGCAGCCCCCAAGCTCAGCAGACAGGGTCTGGCAGAGCCCAGGCTCTGGCTGCTCCAGCAGCAGTCCTGGAACTTTGCTGACTGTGGGGCACGGAGCCACAGCACCCTGGTGAGGAACAGATCCTGGAGGAACCTGCTTAGGTTTGGATATGGATTGTGGGTGCCAATTCATCAAAGGGGACATGACCCCTGGAGAGGGATTTGTTAGCATCAAGAGAATCATGCACTGATCCTGCAGATGGGTGCTGAAAGGTGGTGCTCTCCCTTGGGAAGGGTAGGCTGATCCTGGGTGTGGGGGACACCCATCTGAGAAGCTGCAGGTGCCTGACCAACCCCATCCCCCCTTGCTCACTCAGTGAAGGAAAAATGGAAGTGCCAGGAGGGGCTACCAGGTGACAGTGGGAAGCTTTCCAGCACTGCTCTCTGACTGTGACACCCCCAAATGCAGAGCTCCCCAGGGCAGGGAGAGCCAGGGGGGCACACACCTGGCAGCAGAAAGCCAAGAGTGTTTTATTTAACTTATTAGTGGCTCCTCATTCTGCTCACATGAGCCTAAATGGCTTTGGGATGCTAATCCACCGAGTCAATTGGATTATTTTATCCCTGGCATTAATGTGTCACCCAGATGCCAGACAAGGCTCAGGGTCCAGGCTGTGCCTCTTGGTGCCAGGGAGAGCAGGGCAGCCACCCCTCACCCCAGTCACCCTCAGGACTGAGCCAAGGCAGACCCAGTTCTCCCCGTGGTGTTCCCAGCCCGGGACTGGGACCAGCAGAATGTCCTGGTGAGCCCCCAAGTGCAGCCCCCCTAAAGACCCATCACCCAAACTCACGCTGATTTTTGTCGCCTCTTTCCCGGGCTCCTCTGGTGGTGATGATTTCAGCTGTGGACAAAGCAGGGTAGGGGGAGACCAGAGAGGGAAGAGAAATGGTCAGCTCAGCCCACCAGCCCCTTCCCACTGCCAGGATGGCTGCCCCAAGCAAGAAGGAAGAGGGAAAAGGGGCAAGAGAGAAGAGACTGCCCAGCCCCAGCAAAGCCAGGCACCCAGGGCAGATGAAGCCACACTGGGCAGCCAGGTTGAGAAGAACCAGCAGCAGCACAGCAGCCAAGGAGCATGGGGTGCTCACCCACAGGTCCCACTGCTCCAGGTGCTCCCCCACAGTCCAGGAATGGGGATGGATCCCTGTGGTATCACTGCTTCAGCTGTGACCCCTGTCCCTGGAACCCTGTCCCCATCACTGCCGCCACTGCCCCGTTGCCACCAATCTTCCCCTCCAGCAGCCACTGGCTGTGCATTCCCAGTGCCTCCAACACCCTTGACCCTGTCCACCCTCGACCCCTGGCAGTGCTGCCCCCCATCCTGGCAGCACTGCCCTGAGGCTTCTCAATTTATGGCAACACCAGCAGCAGCCCTGCCAAAGACACTACAATAAAGGCTCATTAAAATCCCCAAAGCTGTTTCCCATTCTTTGGCCCTTATCTCTGTGCGAACAGAGAGAGAAATGAAGAGAGGCTGTTTGCTGGACCAATACACAGGGAAACAGGGGACAAGGGAGGGATGGAGGGTGCAGGGCCGGGAGGGATGAGCTGGTGATGAGATAGGCAAAGGCACAAGCACAAAAACAAAGCCTCAGCTCAAAGACTCAGATGAGTCCTGGCAATGGGCCAGGCAGCCCCTTGGCTGGGAAGGACAACCAGGACAGCCCAGCCCCACTGGCCCCGCAGCATCCTCAGTGCAGCTGGACATTGAGCAGCCCATGCAGCCTATTAATTGCACCACAGGACCCTCAGGCTGCTCTCTGTCAGAGCAGAGGGTGAAACCCTGCCCTGCAGGTCCGGTCAGCACCAGAGATGCTGCTGTGGTTGGGGTCCCCCACCAAAACCCAACAGTGGCTGCAAACAAATCCCTTCCCCACGGAAAGTGCAGGGCTCTGCCTGAAGGGCTCTGCCTTTCCCTGCTGCTGTGGAGGAGGATGAGGGGCATTACCTGACTGGAAGCCCACGTCTGTTTGTCCGTCCAGTCCTTGTGGTTGCGGACGTACCACCACTGGATCTCAAGGGAGTAGGAGGGGGAGCCGCTGCCGCGGAAGGAACACGCCATCTCCACATCCTCACCCGCCTGCGCCGTCATGTCATGAGGGGTCTCGGTGAAGAGAGCTGCTGGAGACAGAGCGAGGGCTGTGGGTGCCCGCGGGACACAGAGCTGTGCCAGTGAAGGACAATGCCTCCAGCCACACAGGCAGAGTCACCAGGAGTGCCTGGATCCTTTCCTGGCTGAAAAGACCCAGCCTCCACAGCAGAGCAGACAGGTCCCTGCCATCCCCAACTTCTCCTTTCCCATGTCAGTGTCCCCTCCCCACCCTCAGCAGAGCTGTGCCCCCCACCCCCCCAGCACTTTGCAGGGAAAGGGAGGAGCAGGAGCCTGTGGCCCCCTGTTCCCACAGCATCCCTCAGACTCCTGCCCCAGAACGAGTGCAGGACCTGCCACACCTCTGAGGTGAAGGAAATAAATAGAGCATGATGGCATCTCACTCAGATCGGGACATAACTGAAAAACAAATCCTCGTTTAATGCAGCCCCAAACAGGCTCCCACATGCCATATGGTTTACTTTCCTCACTCAAAACAAATATTGTTCGGAGATGTAATTAGAATTCTTTTCATCTCCTCTGGAGAGCCTGTTGTTCCTCCCTACAGACAGCCCCAGTGTGCAGGGCACGGGCAAGCGCTGCTGCCGCGGTCGGTGCAGCACCTTCTCCATGGCACAGCACCGGAACAGGGCTGCCAGCCCCCTGCACACCCCAGGCACTGCCAGGCTGCCCTGTGCCTCCTGTCCTCACTCACCACCTCGTGCTGCCAGCACTGCCAGCTCACAGCCACAGTGCAGGTCCCATCGGAGCCACCGGAGCCCTCCGGGACACACAGCCTGTCGGGAGAAACACTCTCTCCAGCCCTGATCCCTCTGAAAACCAATTATTATCAGGCCAGACAAAAAGTTAATACCTCTAATATCTCCCTGTCCCTCTGGACGCATGGAAATCCCATCCACTTATTGCTTTCCTTTAATCCATCTCAGCAGGGAACAGAGGAAAATACCCAGCACCGGGGTTTACCGAGGAGGGGTGTCCTGGTGGGGTTCCCAGTGCTGTTCCCACATCCTGTTCATGCAGAACCCAGCACCAGCAGCCACATGGATTCTGTGCCAGGGGTGGAAGGAACCCCAGGCAAGGGAACAGCTCTGGTGACCGAGGGCTGTGGGAGAGCAGGGTGTCTTCTTGGCACAGGACAAAGGGTTCCCTTGCCCTCCAAGCTACAGTGGTGCTGAGGCTGTTGTGTCCAGTCATTATCCAGCACTCACCACCCATTCCCTGGCTGCAGCCAGGATCAGGCTCTTGCCCCACAGAATTCCTGATGGCAGGAGCAATGGCCAAAGACAGTGTATCCCAACAGAACCTGTACCAGCCCCCCAGACACCACAGCTCCAGCAGTGCAGGGGCAGGGTGATGGCCTGAGGGCTCCAGCCAGGTCCAAATTCCTGTGAACACAATTAAAATCCACTCCCACAGAAGGGAATTTGGCAGATAAGCTGAGAAAAGGCTGGATTGAATCAAGCGCCTTCTTTCTTTCTGATTTTAATTGGGAAGCGTATGTATTAATTAACCCCAGAGCTTAGCCACCTACAAGCACATCCAGAGGAGCAAAGATGCTGCAGATGGATACTTAGGGTCTTTGCTGGGGACACATGTCTTTCAGATGTGTCCTCCAGCAGCACCATGTGCCTTCCCTTGTGGATGCTGCAGCCCCTGGCCCTGCCTGGACAGAGATGACTCACTGTCCCCCAGCCCTGCCCCTCACAGGGACACAAATGGGGACCAGGGTCCCCCCAGGCACCCCCTGGCTGGGCATGGACCCTACACCGGGTTGGCCAAGCTGCCTGGACACTGCTCCTGTGAGCACTGACCAGCTCTGGTCAGTGTCCTGTCCCTCCAGCATCCCTGTCCCCTGCCCACCCCAGCCCCATCCCTCTCCCCCCACTGACACTGGAGCCACATCCCCACAGCCAGAGGGAGGGGGCCGTCGGGGGCCGCTGCTCCGTGTGCTTTATGGCCTGCTACCTGTCATAAACTGAGAACACCAGGATCAATAAATCTTCCAGGAAATAAAAATCAGGGGAAATAAAATGAACTCAATGGGGAAACACAGATAAACAGAATTGAAACCGCCTGCTGGGACGGCTTGGTGCTCTCATAAACCAGAAACAGACGGGGTCCCTCCCTGCGGTGAGCACCATCCCTCACCTTGGTCACACTCTGCAGGGGAGGGGGCTGCGGCAGCGGGGGCTGTGCTGGGGCAAGAGCAGGTCGTGCATTGATTGCCCTGAGTCCCTGGAAATGACCCACGGATCCCTGCTCTGTCCTCCTGCCATCCATAGGCCCCACCGGCACAGAAAGCCCTGCAGCCCCCAGGAGCCTCTCCAGGACTCTGCCAGAGCTGTGCCAGCCTCCCTGGTCCCCAGCACAGCCCCACAAGGACAGCACCGGAGCAGCGCCATGGGCACCGGCTCAGGCTAATTGTTGTGTAAAGAGGTACCGGAGGACAGTGAAATGTGCATTGGACATTTGCAAACGCCTGTTAATCACCCGGTCAGCCCAAGCTGCTGCTCTGGGAAGGATTTTTTCCCCTAAGCCGGGAGTCAGAAGCCTCTTTCTCTGCCCAGCACAGCTGAAGACCCTCACCGGAGCTCCAGCCGGGCTGGTGCGGTGACAAGCACCAAGCAGGAGGTGGGGCTGGGGCTGGCTCTGTCCCACGCCGGGCCGGGACAGGGGCTGGGGGAGCTGAAACATCTCTCTGCTGCTGCTCCTGCCCACTGGAGTGTCCATCCAGCCCCTGGCCTGCGTCCCTGGTGGGGGGCCAGCTCTGACCTGCTGGGTTTGTGCTGCACCTCTGCAGGAAAAGCAAATGTGTCCAACAGAATCCAGCACCACTGACACTCTCCCCAGGCAGCCACAGCCCCTCCGGCACCGTCCCCTCCCCAGACATCCATGACCCCTCCAGCACCGTCCCCTCCCCAGGAACCCGCGGCTGAGGGACAGCGACAGCCCCGGCTTCAGGGACACCATGTCCTGCCGGCAGCAAAGGCACCTGAGGCACATCCCGGGACACGGATGGACCCTCCTGACCCCCAGCCCTTGACACAGCCTGCCTGAGCAAGAGCCGTCCCGCGGGATCGGGAGGCACAGGAGGCACCCTCCGGATGGATCCGGGAGCGGCCTGGGCACTATCCCAGTGCCTGTGTGACCCCCACTGTCCCCACCACGGGGACACCGGCTCCGCCAGAGGCTGCTGCACAGGTCGGGCTGCAGCCTCCCTCCCGCTCCCACCGCCGCTACCAGCTGTGGATGCGTCTCCTCCTGACAAGCCTGCGAGCAGGGATGCTGACCCCGGGGCGCTGAAAACACATCGCGGTGCAAACCGCTGCATAAACACGGCGTGACGGCCGCGTCACTGCTGAGAGAGGGCAGGCGGCTCCGGCCCCGGCGGCCGAGCGGGCAGAGCAGCCGGGCGAGCGCTGCTCTCCTCCAGCCCTGCAGACATTCCCTTCCCACGAGACGCGGCAGGCTGGAGCGAATGTCCAATGCCTGGGGCCGGCAGGCTCTCACCACACGCTGGGGATGGCAGCTCCGTTGCTCTGCCCCTCTTTACAGTCATATGAGCAGCAGAAGGAGCTCAAATTTGCAGCATGTGAATTAAAAACAAAAAAAAAACAAACCCCGCCTAACTCAGTGATTGTGATCAGGCCAGCACTCACCTCACCAGAGAGCTGGAATTAACCTTGAAAACTGCAGGTATGTCCAACAGTGCCCCATTGCGCTGGGCTGCCCCAGCTCCTGCCCCCAGTGCTTCCCACTCCCCTAATATTTAACCTCCCCAGCAAGAGAGAAGTCAGTGGTGAGTCTCTCCAGTCTGGCCCCGGATACAAAAAGCTTTGCCACACAAGGGGACTTCCTGCTCCCATCTGGTTCCTGGGGACTCGCAGTTCTCAGACAATTCCCTCCCAAGGGGCTCAAGGAAGAGCTGTTATTTGATAGTATAAGTAGCAAAGCCCTAAAATGGCCTTTTTTTGACAGCTCCCAGTGGGGCTCCAGCAGCGTGTGCAGCCAGCCCGCAGCCACCACTCTCTCTGGTGCTGCTCTCTGCCCGGGGATGGTTCCCAGCAGCCAGGGGAGGATTCTCAGCCAAAATCATTCAGCAGGAGTGGTCTCACACCCAGCACCCAAAACATGAGCCACCAGCACTGGCAGCTGCTGCCGAAAGCTGCCCTCACCACACACAGGCGCTGGTACCATCCCGCAGAGCTGGCAGTGCGTGGTGCTCATGGACACGGCACCCCCTGCCCGGCTCTGCCCACCCCATCAGCGCTGAGCTCATCCCAAGCCAGCTTCACACACGACAGAATCAGCAATGCACCCATCACAGCAGAGCCCGGCCAGCACCCCCTGCTCAGCCGGGCACCCACCGCAGATGGGGCCTCAGGGAGGGAGCCGTGCAGGAGGGGAAACAGCTGGGGAACAGAGGAGCTCGGGGAGAGCCAGAGCTGTGGAGGATAGGGCCAGTCTGTCCCGAGGTGCACAAGCCCCACTCACACCATGAACCAAAATCCCAGAGGAGCCGTGAAGGGGAGAGGGCTCAGCAGCTGCCCACCTGGGCATCCATGTGGCCCCCGGGGCTGCTCCTGATGAAGGAGGCAGCAGAGCAGAGCCTCCAGCCTGGCCCACTCCAGGTCCTCAGTCCAGCCCTGCCGTGCTGCCCACAGCTCCCAGACCGTGCGCGGCCGTGCCGGCTGTTGCTTGATTCCTGCCTCGCTCACAGGGAACGTTATGATTAAAATTAGCTGTCACTGTCCTAACGTAATAATTCCCAGTGTCTGGCCCGTCGTCTGTCAGCCGCTTCAAGGGAAGAGAAAGCCCAGACGTTTGATGAGGAGAGGTGTCAGATGTAATTGCGTTGAATGACTGCACGAACAGCAGCAGGAAAAACACATCGCATGGAGAATTCCCACCAGGAAGTGTGAAAAAATCCGGCAGAATGCAAAGTGTTTATGAAAGTAATTGATAGAATAATCTCTCCAGCCCCCAGCCGCGGCTCTGCTGAGGCGAGGCGATATCGCCTGCACACGGTGCCGGCAAGAAACGGGCAGCTCCTCCTCACGGCACGGCTCCCCTGCCCTGCTCCAGAGCCTGGGAAGGCGGCTGGAGCTTCCCAGGCAGCGCATGAGAAAGCCGATGGCAGCAGCCCAGCGAGCACAGGATGCAATGGGGGGCATGAATAATTGAAGGCACC